TCTACTGAGGGAAATAAATCAATAACATTTGAAACTGCATGGCAAGGGAATTCCTCTCCATCTTGAATCAGGCATTTTCAAATTGTTTTCAAGAAAAAAATTGAAAGAAATTTCAAGTAAAAGGCTCCAAGTGGCACCATACATTTTAAATATGTCACCCTACTGAGATAAGTCAAGCCTGGAGAATATAAAATCCATGCTTCGTTAAGTCCTAAATTGTTAGTGTTTGAGCTAGTAAAAAGAAATGGTCACGGGGTATGGTCTAAATACAATACACCATACGCACTGATTTCTAACATCCAGATTTAAAAAATGATTGCTTTACGTGGAAGCAAAGCTGACTTTGACTCTTGAAACTAGAGAGCTAGAGAGGAATTAGTAGGTTAACATTTAACAGTGGGTTATAATCATAGACGTACTTGGTTGACACAAAAGGAGTTTTGCATATAAAGATTTCCCAAACAAGATCCAGGAATGATCAAAATGGAGTTTTGGATCTCTGCAGGTCCAATGTACATAAGCCCCATTTAGAAGAACTTCAATTCTCAAACTGAGTTTTGTTTTTTGTTTTTGTTGTTCTTTTTTTTTTTTTGAAAAAAAAAAGAGCAAGTCAATTTTTGTTTTTAGGTCAAAAACTTCACACAGCTGAAAAAAATATAAATATACTGCTGGTGTTGTAGGGAAGCATTGTATAATTAATAATAAGGCCAAGTTCTTCATTTTTTCCGTGTAGCTGAAACTATTTTTTATAAAAGATAATGTTGGAAAATAAAATCCGCGTGACAGGAAAAGCAGAAAAGATTCTTTCTGCCTAACGTCAGTTGAGAGACGTCTCCTGCAGGAGCTCCTACTCCTCTTCAGACACATTCATTCAGAAAAATCATGAAGAGGTTTTGCAGTATTTTACAATAAAATAACTAAACAACCATATGATTTTTTAAAAAAGGTGTACCTTTTAGAAAAAACATGCCTGCTACTGTTACTTAAATTTGTTTTATATTAAGTGCAGAAAAATCGTATCTATATGTCTACGTGATTTTAAAAAAAAAGCTCATTTATAGAAACAGGGACTCTGTAATGTTGGACTGTTAGGGTGGTTCTTGTACTCAATATTAGATTCATATATGAAATTTGCCTGGAACCAGACCTTTCTCGTAAAAAGTGATGGAGCAAATATTGTATTCAAACTCTCCTCAGTTACATCAAATGGAGGAGATACTTTTTAAAAAAAAACATTCTTCCAAATAAGAAGACCATGGGTAGAAAATGTCTGCATGCTTGTTTCTGTAGGTCTTATTTATGCAAAACTCTTTTGTGTATTTTGCTGTTAGACGCTTGCTTAGAAAATGGGAAATCTTGATCCCATCACAAACCATACATATCGCTCCATTGTGTCTTTTACACTGAGTCTCCTACTGAGTCCAAATCATCCGATGAGAGGGGGCGGTACAGGTCCTGTAAGATGAAGGGCAGGACAGATTTGTTTACTCATCTTTCTCGGGTTCGCTGTCGCTCCCCGAGGAGCAACTTTGGAAAGGGGTGGGTCCTTGGCTTCTAACATCATTAGAACTACTCAACTCATCAGCTTTGGATAAGAGAGAGGATAACACAGGCAGAGTGATGATTTCATTTCATTGGCACGACAAACGCTCCCTGCGCTATCAGGGGCTCCTTCCTGCCTTCCATCATGTCCAGGTGGAGTTATATGGCCCTTGCTGCCAGCCAAGATCAACTATGCTATTCTGTGCCTAGGCAATTCTTCTATGGACTTTTTCTTCTGGGTAGAAGAATATGTTTACCTCACCAAATAACTTATGAGATGAGCAGCTGGCACTCAGGATATTCTGGGATGTAACACTCCAGTGTGTAGTTGCACATACACAGTGTAAAACCAACATACTTTGTCCTTTCACACTTTTATGTTTGGGTGACTGGAAGAAATCTCCATTATCCACATCCCCATCCCATCCCAACTACTCTTCTAGCTCCCAACCCCTTCTCCATCTCTTCCCAGCCTCTTCTTGCCTCTGTCTGCTACTCTCTCTCAGTGTTCGTAGCCAAGCAACCAGCATGGTTCTACCCAGAGCGTCTACAGTTGGCTTTTCTCCAGTTTGGGGCCACCCACTCCTACATCCTCTGCTGGATCAGTTAATCCACAAGAGTCAGCGATGCAGGGGTGTAACGGGGAGCTTCATTCAACCTACACAACATAACACTTTTTTTTTCTTGATGTCTTAAGAAAAGGGTCCAAAAAAACATTCATGGATGGGAAAAGAGCCTCAGAAGTTGACTTCTGAGGCCAGGCAGACATTTCTAAGTGGCGACTTAACTAATTGTGCTTTGTGTATATAGGAAGGGTGCTGGGTCCACTGTCTCCAGTGTGTTTATAAAGAAAGAGCTGTGACATGCTGACGTATCTCTCGTATGACTATTCTAAAATGTCAAAAAGAAGTCATTTAGAAACATGATCTTAAGGGAAGGAAAACAGCCTAAATCATAGTTAATGCAAGTAAAATACAGATTTTTTTTAACTTTTAAAAACATATCATATTCTTTTAAAAAATTAGCTCTGATCCTGTATTTAAAGTATGTGTATGTGTGTGTATGTGTGTATATGTGTGTAAGTGTGTGTGTATGTGTGCATGTGTGTGTATGTGTGTGGGTCTGGATGGCTTTGCCAACTTATTTTTTGGGTGTGTTACTAGGCAACACAGAAAGAAAAAATAGAAGTGACTACTGTTTTCTAATTTGCAATAAAAGGAATTAATTTATTCTTTGCAGTGTCTTCTTTTAGTTCAGGCCATCTTTCACTTATTTCAGCATTTCCTGCACAGAAGAATAGCCAACCATTTGAAAAGAGTAATAACCAAATTTGAAACAGGAACAGTTTGAAGGGATATTCTGGTCCCATTTTGACAGGGAGGGGTTATTCGATGCAGTTGTTGACACAAATAGATGAAAGTGCCTCTCACCAAAGCAGCTGGAAATGTCTCCATGGTACACAGATGGAGGGCGTCCATAAATTCAAAGGCTTGGAATCATAGCTGTCTTGGAATACATGTAGCTAAACTCAAAAGCCTAGAAACTAAACCATCTTTGAATGCGTTTGGTATCCTGCTTACAACATGTGTTTAATAAATGTTTTCAGATGGTGATAAACTCTCTGTCCTCCTAAATGCAAACGAGAGAATCTTGGCTTCCTCCGTGATAGCGCCAACCCGGTGGTTTAGATGGCAAAACGAAAAAAAATCTGTCAGAGAGCCACACCTGCTAATTATTTATGCGCCACAATACAGTGTTAATTATGTAAGTCGATGCCTACAAAGCTGGATGAATTTTTTCTGCCTCAGTTGAACGAAAAAAAAAATCCCACTGAAGCTAAGAAGAAAAAGATGCAAATTCTGACCTCATTTTCCTAGTAAAGGACAGCTGAGCGAAACTTTTTACTCCCAAGATGGAGGGGTCAAACACCTAGAGAGAGAAGCTGGCAAGTATTCCCAATCGTTCTGAATTTAGTCTCAACAACTAAACCTGAGATAGATCAGTAAAGTCTGAGGCTGAGTTCAATGGATCTAAAGCTATTTTGGTTCCTCTGCTAGATGTGTTCTCTGAAGCACACATACACTTGGAGAGAGAGGACGCTCCTGAGACATTCTCTATGCTAGATCTCCAGCTGTGTCTACAGGGTGGAACCTTGCGAGCTGGCATTTGTGAGCACAGAATGGCCACACTGGCTCTTCCCTCGCCTAAGGACAATCTCTTAAGACAGTGAATGCATGTAGCCAATTCTGCACAAGCATCAGTGGTTCCTGAAATCACTCAGGATGGAAGACAGATTTCTCTAACGATCCCACAGTTGACTAGAAAAGCAGATATAAACCACAGGCTTTAACAGACTGTACAAGCTTGACTCAACACCAGGAGAACCAGCAGAAAAAGATATTTGGGACAAGAGGTTCAAATGACTGTAGACTAGCTGATTTCTTTTTGGCCCCCCACTTAAAAATGGCTAATGGATTTTTGGCAGCCTCAAGATCCAACTTGTGTAGAAAACTTGAAAGAGAGGGACTTCCATATTTGATGAGCTTAAATTTATCAAATTTAGAAGTTTCATTTAAATGCATCATAAGAGAAATTAAATTTTAAAACTCTGATGTTTAACGGTTTCTGAGATTTCTGTTTGTTAAACCGTTTGAGTAGGTGCCATCATGCAAGCTACCTGAGGAGACATATCCTTCTACCTCTTTCCTGAAAGCAGGACCCTGAGGGGCGCATCTACATTTTCCAGTTGCCCTTCCCCTTTTCCCTTTCCCAGTTCTTATCTTCTGGCCTTAGTATGACTGGAATGGATGAGCAGCATAGGGAGTGAAGGGAATTTGAGTCTTTTCATTCCAGATGAATAACTGTCACCCCCCTTGCTTAACCCGGAGACGCTAACACCCTATCCAGTTACTTTTACACACTTGTCTCTGAGCTCAGTTGATTTCTCTGCTATTACACGAGAGGCTAAAAATAAACACAAGAAGATGTGCTCGGTGTGGGTCCGTTCACAAAACTGGCATCCTACGTTCCCACGCCCTGCTTCATGACTCCTCCATCTTCTCTGGACCACCCTGCTTGCCTCTGCACAATTTCCCACTAGGATGCTGCCTCCTTTGGCTGTGCCTGTCCTTCAAGGGGCTGGTGATTAATGGCAGTATCTAGTGACACTAATTACAGCTAAGGACACTGGCATACATAATAAAGTAATGTGTTATGAACAAACAAGAAGGCATTTAAAACAGAAGCAGCAAGGGTCCATGTTACTCAGAATTAAAAGTGGGCAAATTTGTGGAAACCGAGAGACCTGGGTTCTACCTGAGTCACAGCAATGGCGAGTGGCACACGGGTTACCCCTTGCCCCCTTCCCTCCGGAGAAGCAGCACTTTCTGCTGGCATCCACACCACTCCGCACCGAAACCAAGACAGCTCTTAAATAGGTGGCTTGCTCGTGCCCTTACCCTCTGCTTCCGCAGGCTTCCTGGGCTGGTGGGGGATGGACTTGGTGACTTGCCCGAGCGTGGAGTGGAGAGCTGACTACCAGGGGTTCCATTGACTGGAAAGAGAAGGAATCACACACAGAGAAAAAGAGCACATTAAAGAACTTTTCATGACAGTTCATCAGGAAATAAACAGAGAAGGGACATCGGCTAAAAATTAGACCCATCATCCGACTCGTGAAGCAAAGCCTTAGGGAATAGCCATCCTCAGACATTCACTGTTCTGTTAATCTTGGGTTTAACACAGTAGCAGGTTACATAATTTAAAAAGATGTACTTTGCATAATTTTCCAGTGATGGCTTTATTTGAACCAAGACAGATTATTCATGAATGTGTTCAAGGCTTTGAGGCATTTTTGGTGTGTGTCTTTAGTTTAGTTGCCCAGTGGGAGAAAATGTTGAAACAACTCCCAGGTGGGATTCCCAGAGACTTTTACACATTCCTATATTCATTTATGTCCTGTCTATCCCCCTAGCCCAACCAGATTCTGATGGGTCTGCCCCAAACAGGACAAAATAATTGCCCACAGATGCACAGAAACCCCACACAGTTTGTCTTTGTTGCTACTGAACTGATAAAAAGCTGCCAACAGGTCCCAAACTTGGGAATTTTACTCAACACTTAAGTCGTAGAAAACACTGTCAGTAAACCTAGATGAAGCTTCAGAAGCAGGCAATTTTTTTTTCTAACCAACACCACCTCTGAGAAGACATGCATCCCCTCCCTCCCTCCACCCAAGACATGATTTTATAAAGACATCAGAGGCTGCCACTCGTGATTTGGCAACCCTGAAGATAGGGAGACAAGAAGACTCAGGCAGGAGAAACATTCATCCTCGAGGGTGCCCTGGGGGAGAGCCGGCGGTGCGTTCCACTTACCTTCTATGAGTTCTAACATGGACACAGTCTTAGTGTTTGTCCTGACAACAGCCCGAGCCCAAGCCTCCTCTCAGACCAAGCCCTGCACCCGCAGACGAGGGAAGCAGTTGAACTAGCTAGGGACAGCTAAGGCTGCTCAGGAGCAGGCTGAATGAGATGCAGGATTCATCAGCAGATGCCTTTTCCTGCGTAAGGCTGACGTCTTCCCCGCGGCAGTGGGAGGTGCGGGTTCTGTCTTAGGCTACATCAAAGGTGTCAATTAAGCCTCATGCCAACGCGTTGCCACCGCAACCCCCACCAGACACACACTCACTCCTCACTCCGGAAGCCCCAGCCGGCTCAGTCCTTTGCACTGAATCATGAGGAAGCGCCTCTGGGGGCAGGCAACTCAGTGACTCATACAAGAATGAAAATGACAGTAACTGGGTTGGCCCGGCAAGTTCCAGGTGATAAGGAAATACAAAAGTCTCATAAAACCTTAAGGGGTGAGAGGAGGGGAAAGCTCCTTGGTTCCTTTTGTCTTCTGTTCCAAAGATCTTTAAAATGCCACATAGCGTACCGATTGGTAGTTTTTCTTTAGAAATGTATTGAAGACTGCTCTTAAGAGCCTTTTTAAAAGGGGAGGGGGATTGTTTATTGATGTTGGTTTTGCATAGCACAACAGCAAACTGTGACTGTTTTAATTTGCTTGTATGCCACCGGGCTGTCTTTATCCAATGAGTTCCACCATTAGGGTTTACAGGACTAGACTCCCCAGACAGTGGTCTCTATGGGAAGAGCTAGGAAACAGACCAAGATTTCAGCGATGTAGTAGATGCAGAATCGCCACTCACCCAGGGAGGAGATGCTGCCCCTGGTGGTTGGCTGGAGGGCATCTTTTATTAAATTAACTTTCAAATTGCCCACTTTGACTCTGCTTTACAACTAAGTCATACTTAAAGGCTACACAGACTGATTGGGGGGGGGGATGGGGACGACCAAAGAAATGAGTCTTTTTATATTAGGGACTCTGGTTTGTTATTGGTGTTTGGAGTACCAGGGATGGAGCTTGGAGGGGGCGCACACATACCAGCAGGCACTGAGCAAACCCACATAAGAAACTTCTGCTCAGCAAGTGTGGATGCTGTAGGTAGCTTAGCTTATTGTAGCCTTAAGGTGTATACTCCAGTCAATGAGTATGAACCTTTAAGATAATATGATCTCATTGAACCTTTAAGATATAACATCTCATTGACTTTATGACATAAGCAGTATTATTCCCCCCACCCCCATTTTACAGATGAGGGAACTGAGTCATAGACAATGAGCAATTTGAAAACCAAAGGCTGAGATCTAAACTGTGCAGTCCACAGCCTACACTGCTGTTCCCACTTCCTTCAGGGCACCAGACTCACACAGGGTACGAGACTCATGGTAAGGAGTTCGGTTTATACTCAAAGGACGATGAGAAGCTCTTGAATGATTTTACAGGAAACCAAGGGTCCAAAGTGCATTCTATGAACACTCTCCAGAGCTCCTACTCTGTCAAGACTTGATAAGAGGGGACAATGCTGGACATGAGGCTATCTGTCCCTTACTAGAATGACAAAGCAGGGCCAGCAAGATGGCTCAGCAGGTAATGGCTTTTGCCACCAAGTTTTCAGACCTGAATTCAATCCACCTTTTCCTTCAATATTTCAGACAGAAGGTCCTACATTTTCTTAATAATTGGAACCATAAATTCAGGGTCTCATTCCAACCAATCAACACATGCAGTACACGGTAGAAAACCCTTTCCTGTAGGCAGCTTATTACTGAATATCCAAGTTCCTAAAACATCCTAGGTTTGGAAGCAGTTGGCTAAATCATGGCTTCTTCTCAACGGCCTTAGATTCTATTTGCACTAATGAAGAGACTTTTTAAAAATAGGCTTAAAGGAATCTTTCTCTTTTCAGCTGGATGCCTAGGGCGTCAGGCACCAGCTACCATGTGAATATTTTCACCTGTGAAGTTGGTAATGACATTAGACAAATCTCAAAGCAAGACTAATTGGGAGGTAAATGGCTCCTCCTTTCCATCGAGCAAACATTTTGCTATGTTTTTGGCATGGCCAGATACCATGTTTAAAGGAAGGAAGGAGAGGGCAGAACACATCAGGAAAGTGGAAAGAGGATCCTAGAGGGAGAAAGGTTTAAGCCGGGTGGAAGGATCGGGAGAATCTGCCGGGAGGGATGTGGAGCATTAAGGAAGTGTGGAAAGTCACACGGGGACCTATTTTTATACGCTAATTAAATACAGTCTTAAAAAGCTGAAACGAAAAAGGCATGGCAGGGGATAATGCTCCTTTCTAGAAGCTATAAGGTTATTAAAGAAAATGTCTAGGGCTGATACGGGGTCTTCCCCAGGAGCTGTTGGTTAAGGAAGTGCTACTGGTGGTCAAAACAAACCAGCCTACTGCCATTGACCTTGCTGCCCTTGAGAACTTCATGGTAAAGCCCTGTTGCAGAAACCTCGCACTATGAATGCTGAATGTAGGTATTGGGTTCCCTGGATCTGGATCTGGCCTGGAAGCTTCCCTACCAGTAACAGGCTGTGGTGGTTTGGATGTGAATGGCTTACAGGCTCATGTATTTAACTTTTGGTTCTCAGTGGGTAAACTATTAAGGCCGGATTAAGAGGTGTGGCTTTGTTGGAGGAGGTGTGTCACTGGGGGCGCTCTTTGAGGTTTCAGAAGACTACATCAGATCCAATCTCCCCTCCTCTGCCTCCATCTTGCTAATAATATGTTTGCTTTCAACTCCTGCTCCAATGCCATGCTTTCTGTCAGAATGATCATGTATTACGCCTCTGAAACGGTATGCAAGCCCCCGATTAAATGCTTTCTTCTATAAGTTATGCTGGCCGTAGAGTCTCATTACAGCAATAGAAAAGTAACTAGGACAGGGCCTTTCATGGTGTCAGAAGGTGCTCTGCAGGCTTCTGGGGAGAAAAGTCATCACTCAGCCTTGACTCCTTGGAGCTACAGTAAGATCAGGCCTGGTAAGGTGTGTAATAGTGGCATGGTAGATAACCAACTACTTGTTAATGGGATTAGAGGCTGTACCACAGGAAGGAACTCTTGCCTGGTACCATGAACCTGGTCAAGAGCTGATGGCCAAGGAAACTGTATGCCATCGAGGGAACCCAATACTATCTATCATTTTGCTAAACAGACATATGATTGAACTGTATTCTAAGTAGTCATGTTTATATCCATAGATTGGCAATGCTTTCAACCTTCCTAAGAGAGACTTCTTATTATGGCTGGTAACAGTTAATGCAGAGACTTTTAACTGGTTAAAATACCAAGCCTCAGGAACATCCTAGAGGAGGAGACAGAAAGAATGGGAGAGATGGAGGACAGGGAGGAGTGCCAAAAAGGACCCCTTCTGGACATGACATGGATGTGGTACCCATAAACACATTGTAGCTGCTGTTACTGACACAAGAGTATGCCCATCACCATTTCATGATGGGAGATGAGATGGAAGGTCTTGTGAGGTCCCAGTCCTCCTGAGGTGATGTAGGATTCTTCTCTGTATTCTGTGAATACGATTGGTTAATAAAGAAACTGGCTTGGCCTGATTGGGTAGAACAGAGCTAGGCGAGGAAAACTAAACTGAATGCTGGGAGAAAGAAGGCGGAGTTTAGAGAAGCCATGTAGCCCCTGCCGGAGACAGACGCCGGATGGAACTTTACCCAGCAAGCCACAGCCATGTGGAGATGCACAGATTAATGGAGATAGCTTAGTATAAGATAAGAGTGAGCCAGAAATACACTAGAGTCATTGGCCAAGCAGTGTTTTAAGTAATATAGTTTCTGTGTGATGATTTTGGGGCTGAGCAGTCGGGAACAAACAAGCGGCTCTCCTTACAACACTGAGAGACTACTGGTTACTAGGGGGGAAGGGTGTCGCTTTCTTCAGTCACATGTATAAGCTTTCCATGCTTCAATAAACAGATTCCCACTCCCACTTCTGCGAGCAGCGCTAATTAACATCACGGGCCACACATACATAGGAAGATATGGAAGCAGGGTGGGGATTGGCTGGGGAGAAGGGTTTTAGCAGAGAGAGGGATGACAGAGAGCAATGGCGTGACAATGACTAACGTTCATCATACACACATATGAAACTGGCAAAGAGTAAAATAAGCCAGCA